ATCAGAGAAGATTGACAAGAGGATGAAAGAAGCGGTAAAATGATGCTTCCCTGCAGCTAAGTTGGTGACACTATACAGCACTACATGCTGTATAATCCAATCGAAACTGGATAAGTACCCTGCTGATGTCACCTCCAACTGCATTTATGAATTTATGTACACTTGTGGCAGCTAATACATTGGAAGGACAGAAAGAATGGCTTCCATCCGCTTTTCAGAGTATATCCGAAGAAACGTATGCTTAAAAGAAAGCAGACATAACCGTAATACTTTCATTATACTCATTAGTCATACGTAATAGTGAGCTCAGCTCAGCCCAGTATGCAAGTTTTCAATTTTGTGAACTTTAACCTTCTTGAATTGTCAGGTTGACGTACAAGCTAACATTGTTTATTCGATTTTTCTGTCTTCTCTCACCTTCTCTTCTTTTTTTCACAGTTTGACTGCATATAAACTGGTGGTACCTTGAATTTGTAATACTTGTATTCCGAAAAAAAGAATGCGTTCATCTTATAATATTTTCTCTATTACATTTCAAACATTGGAGTATGTTATTGTCATTATTTATAAGCCTTGTAATTCCAGGTAGTGGGTTGCAGCAGCTGACGAGAGCCTGTGAACTAGAATGATGACGTTATTTTATACTGCAAATGTGGTCTTTCTTTGTCCATCGAGATAAGTTTATCCTTATGACTCTTTTTGGTGCTTTGAAGTTACATTACGGACTGGACTGCAGTTGTTAATCCTGCACCTAACCTCCCTTCATTCTCTGGGCTAGTAAACGCTATTATCGGAATCCATGAAATCCATAATCTAAACTGCTTTATTATCTATTAGTTGACGTTCCCTAAAAAAATGACCAGTTACGATCAAGCGTTGGTAGACGCTGGTCTTCCTCTCAAAATGGTCTCAGATGGACTAGCGTTCATAGCTCTTTTCAGGCGAATTCATTTCTACCACCTCACAAAATGGCCGTTCACCTAAAAGTTTTGGAAAGCACTGATTCCAAATCAACTGTGCACATTGATTCCATAATCTGAGAAGAATGAACGGTATATGGTCCCATTTTGGTCATCAGAAAATAGGGAATAACACAGCTCCTAACTTTACTTTGCTACCTTGTGGATCATAGACTAAGAGAAAACTACCTGCTTGGGTTTTGCCATCTGCGTGTTATTTCAGGCAACATGCAAATCACTGAATAGCAATCAGTGCAAAACTCTACTCACCAGTACACTGACAAGTCACTTCATCGATAGGAGATTCAGCGATTCAATCCTTTATCATAATCATCGTTATTTTGACCAGTTTGTCTTGTTATTATCACCCTTATAACTTTTAGTACCTTTAGTGTTGTCCAGCTTTCGTTATTTTTTGCAACCTCAGTCTATCTGTAGCTGCACATTTACCTTCAAACTAGTGGATCGTGGCGTCAATCAGATTTGGTTGAAAATCATAACCATTACAGGATGAGCAGTGTAACTTCCTCCTTCTCTATCTGTTACTGAAAGTAACGTGAATTGGTGCATTCCGCTTAAGCGCTCTTGCTAAGCGTGTTGGTCTGTTTTCCTAATGCTGTCCCTCGATTATTCTACTTCTCAAGAGTTTGTTCAAGTTTGATCACGAATCGATATCGATTAGAGAACTATTGCAAAAAAACAGCAAGGAGAACTGGGCAGCTGTTTCGTCTTAGTTTGCGGCTCACTGCGAGTACGTACCAAACCGGCTCTCGATCGCTATCCGTGACCAAAACTTGACAGCAATCAAATCTCTACGAACAAATTCTTGAAAATTAATCTGATGATTGTTAATGACTAACTGGCCACAGAAATACGTTTCCTGGAGTTCTATTGAGAAGTTTTGACCACTGGGGTCCATCAACAGGTGAAGAGTGAAGACAATGCTTGCCACCGATGACATTGGATGGTGCTATTCGCGCTCAAATCAGAAATTGGTAGAAGTTAGAATCGATGGGATGGCCATTAATTCGGGTCCTGGTGGCTGGACGGTCTACGAGCTAACTTGACTCGAAACTGGAAGGTCGTGGGTTCGAAATCCAGTGGTGGCATACTGGAGATGAGGTTGAAAGTAGGACGAGATGGCTCTCCCAGATTTCCAATGGTTCACTAACTAATATTACTCGTTTGGATATGTTTTGCTGTTTTTGTGTAGCGCATCTCTTATTGCCCATATTTTACTAAATCTGTGTTCAAATTAATCAATAATGTATGTAACAACAGACTTGGTATAAGTTCTCCAACATTTCGTCAAAATGGGTTTCAATTATCATGATAAGTTGAACCGAAATGGGTATAATTACCAGATAATAATCGTAGTAGTTTAGTCACACAGTTTCACAGTTTGTCATATATGCATTTTTTCTCTATTCTGTCTCTCCAACTTCTCCATATCTCCTGTTTAGCCGTTGCAATTCTTTGATTGTAAGTGCTTGGTGTTGAATCGATAAACAAAGCTTCAGTGACTCTTTTTCATAGAGAAAAAACATCAAACAGGAAATCTAAAAGCAAGAGACGCCATCCGTGTCCAAAAAGATACTTTATATGAATCTTGACTTCAAAAGTGACCTACTCAGTAATGTCGTTAGGAGAAGAATTTCCACTTCTTTAAGAACCTTCTTCGCAGCATCACTGAGAGTAGTGTTCTCCAGTGACCCGCCGACCTGCAGAAACCCACAGGACAAGATCTCGCACCTGACCATTTCTCTGTGTAGTCAGGTACATCGGTCGTTCGATGCGTATCCTGTCAAAAAGAGTCAAAAAACACTATCCAGAGTGGCTGGAGAAAGGAAGTAGTAGCCGTATAAGGAGTGCAATAATCGAACATCTTGTCACCACTGGTCATTCCACCTCAACAAACGCCTCCTGCTTCAAAGTAATCTACAAAGTGAAGAACAACCTCCCAAGGACAGTACGATTCCGCCTTCTTTGCATTTCAGAAGCCCTAGCCATTAAGCTAGAGGAACCAGAACTGTGGATACAAAAGAAAATTATTCAGCCACTTCTACTATCATAGTAACAACTCTGTTGATCTGACTTAACGTTTGCTTTTTTGCTTGTTTTCCTTACTACTTAAAACTTTTACGTAATTCCGTATTTTATTTTGTTATTATGTTCACCCTGTGCACAATTCTTTCATCAAACGATTCATTGTTAATACGTGACTCTTCTTTAACAATCGTTTCTGACAACTCATCACTTATGTTATTAACCTCTTATATCAACATCCAATTCTTCTGAATATTTTTCGTACTACGTAATTCCACCAAAAACTTACTAATTATATTTTTGTTTGACAAAGTTAGTGCACAGACACACATACGAAATTAACCTCTCTCTCTCTCCACCTAAATATATTACTTTTTAGTACTCTCAACCTGTCCCAGTCCACCCATTTTATGATTATATACAAGTGAATGCAGCCCAATGGCGGAGCTTTTCTCCAGCTTATGTAACTTAGCAGGGTGAGTCATTTTTTATGTTTCAGTAATCTAATTGACCTCAATCTTCCAGTTTGACCTATGATGTAATTCACCCCACTCACATTCATCACATGGTATTTGATAAATGATATTACTTTTATTAATTGGATCTACTATGGCCTTAAGTCGACAGACAAAGTTTATCTCTGAGATAGTTACTTGGCTGATTGGTTAATTTAAATGCCATCCTATCTAATTCCAGCCTCATTGAGAATTCTATGCAAGGTCTCTGATTCTCCCTCTGCATACTGCAGTACTAGGGAGACTTTGCATTCTATACTATTTTTAAAACATGTCTGAATTAATTCTGTGGGGGTATAGTTAGCTACTCATCCAACAGTTGTACGACAATGCTGCATGCCAAGTAATCCACAACGGGAAACTCACGGAATCCTTCGAAGAAGTGAAGACGGGAGTAAGACAAGCTGGCTGCCCACTACTATCTCCAGTGATTTTCCTGATTGCGGTAGACTGGATGATGTGATAGACAGTGGGCAGCCAAGAAACAGACATAAAATGAACCAACACACAAAACTTGGAGGATCTGGACTTCACCGGTGATGATATATGTCTGATTTCTCACAAACTGGAAGATATGCAAGTGAAAAGCAACAAGTTGGCAGAAGAAGCATCCAGAGAAGATAGGAATTCGTTTAGGTTAACATGGAGAAAACAGAGGTGATGAAGATTCCTGGCCAACAGCCACAGCAACAACAACAGACAACAATCAGCCAGCATAAATGGGGGAAATCTGAAAGAAGCAACCTCCTCCACCTACTTACTCACCTACCTTGGAAGCACCGTTTCAACTACAGGCGGACGGAACTGATGAGGATATCAAAGCAAGGATCGGGAAAGCAACGCAAGCTTTTATTACTCTCAAGTCTGTGTGGAGGTCAACAGCACTCAGCATGAAATATAAGACCCGGATTTTCAACTCCAATGTGAAGTCAATGCTACTTACTATACCGATAAGAGACTTGGCGCCGCCTCATTTCACGAAAGCCACTTCGAACAAACTTAACACCTTCATCAACAGCTGTCTTTGCACAATACTTCGCTTAAGATCAGATAGCCGGCCAGAAAAGATTAGCGACAGTGATCTCTGGAAATGAGCGAATCAACCCAGCAAGAACCACTTGTGCAACAAATAAGCAGGAAGAAATGGAGGTGGATTGGTCATACTCTAAGAAAACAAACCATCAAGTGACATCCATCACATGCCAGGCCAGTTGGTTGTCATTGAGAAGATGACATGGAGGAGGAGGTCATGTGCAGAGGAGATGAAAGCATGTGGACAGACGTGGAGCCAGGTGAAAACGTTGGCAGAGAACCGGACCGAACGCAGTGGATACGTGTGACTGAAGCCCTATATTCCTCTAGGAACTAAAGGAAATAATAATAGCAATTAGCAAAACGCAAGCACACGCACACGAATAAAAGGAGCTTTCTGTTTTATTTTCTCAGAAAAGCGATAAAAAGAGAAGCATGCATGCATAGAAAAAAAATTTTAAAAAATCAAAATAACTCAAAAGAAAATGATACAATATCAGATTTTTTTACTATTATACCAATATATTGCTGACCACTGTGTATCACTAGTAACCATTTACATATACATTTATATATATCACATTTATGTGTAAGCTATTTGAAAGGAGACTTCACTAGAATTCTCGTTTTCACCATAACCAAAATGTATGAAGAAAAATTAAAATATTGATAACGAAAATAATCAATTCGATTGTGTAATACATAAATAAAAGTGTCTGTTTACTGAGTAGTATATATCTATGTTATATAGTCTATAGTTAGTATACAGTAGATTGAATAAATTAGTTGTTTTAATTGTTCAATTATTGTTTTTCTTGACATTGAATTTGGCGGAATTTTTGAGAATGCTGACAAAGATGATGTTGGTGATAGTAATAGTGGGGAATGTAGCGCTTTCAAAAAGACGATAATACGGATACTTGTATTACTACTATTACTATTATTACCAATACTAAATAAATATACATTGACTGTAGTATTCAACAATAGGGATCTAGGCAATTCTCTCCGGTAATACGAAAGACAAGTGTACAAATGTATCCTGTTAAAATGAATATACAGAGAGGGAAAATGAAAGCGATCATTTAAAGTATATATATATATATAACGGCAGTAGAATTCAGATGTAAGTCTGATGAAAACTGAAAGATATTTGTGGTGAAAGCTGTCTGCAAGCCAAAATTATAGACAACAGTTTACGTCCCGAATCGGGTTCATTAGAAAAAACAGTGACAAAGCTTAACCTTGAGGAACTCACCAACCAATCACAGCAGACTTAACGTGTGCAAATACGATTCGCAGATATATGGCTTAACTTATTAAGAAACGGCCAAAAAGAGGTAACAGAATAACCTTCAGCAGGAAAACAACCAATCGGAAGGCGTTGCTTCTCTGCTAACAATAATGCTAATAACAATGTACATAAATATCTATAAATATCTCTTGATTTTCTCAATAAACGACCTGTTGCCTGGACCCTGTCTTCTGTCGTTACAAAATAGAGAATTTCAGCTACTATTTCCCTCTTCTTACAGATTTTGAAAACTATGTGATGTAAACTTGACGAGTAGATGAGACACTGAATTTAGCCTAGTTTGGGACTTATCAGAAGTAAGCGGTCACTGCTAGGGTTCGAGCTCGGGATCTTTATTTTACAAGGCGAGCTAGCTCGTAGACCATTAAGCCAGTGGGATCCGTTCCAATGATCATCCCATCAATTCAAACTTCTGCCAATTCATAAAATAGCACTAACAGTAGCCAATGTGTTCGGTAAGTATTTCTCCTCACGCACGACCTGGTGTACCCAACTGGTCACGAATTCCCACTAAAACCCCAGGAAACTACTCACCTGAATAGGACCAGTCGCTAGTTAGCATTAGATTGATATTCAAGTATTAGATTGTAGGGATTTGGTTGATTGGTTACAGGATTTCATCATGAAGTGACATTGGTTAGAGAACCATTGAAAAGCCAGCACTAGAGTACTGGACAACTTTTTCGTTCATGTTTGGGACTCTTCACTAGTAGGCACTAATTGAGGTTCAAACTCAGGACCTTCATGTTACAAGGCGAGCTAGCTTGTAGACCACTCAATCACTTGTATCCAACTCAGTGGCCCATGACTACAAAGCGAAGTTGCTTGGAGTTCTAGTGAGAAGTCATGACCAATGAGGACCATCCGGTAGGCGGTCACAACAAAAGCTCTCCGACCATCCTGGCGTGTGATCGGGCTAAAATCATGAGTTGGTAAAAGTTGGAATTAACGGACTTGTCACTAGGTAACGTTTATGGGTTAGCTTGACTTGTAACTGCAAGGTCGCTGGTTCGAACCCCGTGTGGTGGGTGCGAACTGGATATAAGTCTCAAAGTAAGACGAAACAGTTGTCCTGTACTCCCAGGTTTTCCAATGGTTCTCTAACCAACATCAGCTCATGATGAAATCCTGTAACCAATCAACCAAATCCCTACAATCCAATAGTTTAATATCAATAAGATGCTCACTGGAGACTGGCCCTATTCAGGTAGGTAGTTACCTGGGGTTCTAGTGGGAAGTCGTGACCAGTAGGGTGCACGGGTGAAGGTCCGGCGTGAAGACAAATACTCGCCGAAGACATTGGCTAGCCATTGCGCTATATCGTGAATTGGGAGAAGTTAGAATTCATGGACTGGCCATTGGATCGGGTCCCAGTGGCTTAATGGTCTACGAGCTAGCTCGCCTTGTAACCAGAAGGTCCTGGATTCGAACCCTGGTGGTGGGTGCGTACTGATGAAGAGTCCCAAACTAGGCTGACGAAACAGCTGTCCAATGGTTCTCTAACAAACCAATGTCAGCTCATGATGAAATCAAGTAAGAAGTAACCTGCTTCAAATTTCTTTCACTGATAATGAAGTCAATTGAACAGAATTGAATTGCTTTAGTGACCAGTTGGTTAGTGAGTAATTTCTAATCTATGTGATATGAGTCATTTTCTTTTGCTATTCTTACAGACTTCTTTTGCTTTCGCTTTCTCGCTACACTAGCCACACCTATTTATATTATTATTGTTATTATTATGTACAACAGAGTTTAAGAAATAACTTTAGTAAATCAAAGTATATTTTAAAATTCTTTAACTTTAACTGGATGACTACGCAGTCTCTATTAAGCATGATGTTAAAGCCTAAACCTAAATACTCTAGTTGGAATGGACGCCATTAGGCCATATATATGTATGTATGTGTGATGGGGAAAAATGCAGAAAATGCAATTGTGTACGTTTAACATTGGAATCTGCTGCACAAAAGTATGATTATCAGGCAGCTATCACTTCTACAGACTAGCGAGAACTCTAAAACAGTCTTAATAAATACTTCATAAAGAATTCTTGACTTTACCAACTTTTTTAAAATACTGATTCATGAAAAAACAATATTCGTACTTGATAATTGGAGGTGATCGGCAGAAAGGTGTCGCCACGCTTAGGTTTCGTGCTTGTTGGCACTCACCAGGCAGTCAGACAGGTGTATCTGCAACCACCTTGAAGGAATTCATGTCCCTTCTACTGACATTCAAACCCGTATCACCCAGTGAGTGCTGCAATCAGAGACGCTACTACTGAGCCAGGTAGCTATTGCTGTGAAGCAAATCACAGTGGAGAGAAAGCCCATCTACATTTGACTTGATTATAAAGGTGAAATTATTACAGCAGTTGTCAACAGAAGGCTGAGTACGTCATTAGACAGAGACTATCCTGCAGCTAAGCTGGTTCTCGTCTATCGGACGGCATGCTCTTCTTTGGTGCAATCAAAAATCGATAGATATCCTTCTCATGTTAACTCCAACGATATATACAAATTTACGTGTATCTGTAAGAGCAGTTACATTGGAAGAACAGAAAAAAGGGCATATCTACAATTTCCTGAATATGTACCAAAAAGCTCATGTCTAAGGGGGACAAATGCTTTAAACAGTGCCATTGCCAGGCATCTCCTTGACACGGGTCATGAAGCGGACGTCGCAAGATCGTTCAAAATTATCAGTAGGCAAAAGAGCGCAATTCTCCTCAAGTTCGCCGAAACGATTGCCATCAAGCGCCCGAAACCTGATTTATGCATTCAGAAAGAAGCAGTTATCAGTCTTTTCTCGCCAACCTGATAACAGGATATTTTCACCTATCTTTCATCTGATTACATAATGTCGAAAGTTTCCATTGTGTATGATCATTATTGTTCGGAATAGTGTTTAATATTACATATATATGCATTATTACTATTAGTGTACGCATATATTGATTGATTGATTTTTGTTCAAAAATGAACTGTCTGTGCAAGTATGTTGAAATTATTTCTGTGGATATATTATATAATGACTTTGGCGTGTAAGCAGCTGATGAGAAGCCAGCGAAATAAGCAATGACGTTACCATTTTATTCCGCAAAAACTGTCGCTCTTGCTTTATTAAAAAAACAACAGACATTTCATTATGAAATGTCTTTTCTAAGTAGTATATTCGCAAATAGCAAAAGAAAATCAGTAAATAAATTGCCACCAATACTTACATTTGTTAATTCTTGATTTTGATTTCTCCAAGTTAACTTGGAAAAGAAACTACTACCGCTTTTATACACGTACTGATGATGGTGAATTGGAAGATACGGAAAATATTTGTATAAAACTACCAGTACTACTGATATCGTCAGTAGCAGTAGTATGAATGTAAAGTAATACAGGATAGATAAACAATTTTCTATTCACATAATATTCTCATACAATCAGTTGGATTGCATTTCTTTCTTTCTTTCTTTCATGTTGAATGTGATCGGGCAGGCGTAACAATCCACTTGTCAGCTGAACAAGAAGCAATCATCATTTAGAAACTGTAAATTAAAAAAAACAACGACATTAGGAGATGATATTACTTTAAAATGTCAAATAAGTAGTATAAACAAACAGAATATGTATATATATACACATGATTTAGCAAACTCATACAAACAAGCAAGCACGCAAACAAACAAACGGATCTTGTGGTAAAGATCAGCAGTGTGATTATCAGATGGTTGAGTTTAAGAAGAAAAAAAAATTGTGAAGAATCTATTGATCCATGAATAAGTAGAAAATTGCGCTTACTGATGACTGTAGGAGTACTTTTCAGTGTATGGGTTTTTTATGGGTTTAAGAAGCTAAGCTGTATTAGTTATAGCCCACATCCACTTGACCGTGATACTAAATAATGAAGGGGAAAAGTATATCTTGGCGTTGCAATTATGTTCAACAAATGAAGTGATTATAATAATAATTACAATGGTCAGATCTAATTAGATAAAAAATTTTTTTTTAAATGGTGGAACTAGTAATGATAACATATGAAAGAGAGAATATAAGACATCTACTGTCATACCATATAAGGAGGGAACATCTGAGGCCCTCCCCACGTAGGATTCTCAATAAAGCAGGAATTAGAGTGGTGGCATATAAACCTACAAACTCACTCAGCTAGGATAAGCTCTGTAGCCTAAAAGACCCAGTCGGTTGACCCAATTAAGCAAAATAATATAATATACAAAATATCTTGCAATGACTGTGAATTAGGTCAACTGCATAGGTCAAACTAGTAGGTCTGGGGTGATCAGATTGTCGGAAAATAAGAATGTAGCTTAGGTAAGAATGGTTGACCCCCCCCCCCTCGTGAAGATAAGGAATTTAGAAAAAAGTCCAGCGATTGCACTGGATGAATTAACACAACCACACAACAGGGTGGGTGGGACGGAATCAAAATTCTAAAAGTGATGTAATTAGGTAGAGAAAGAGAGAGAGGTTGAATACTGAATCCTGCCTGGTTCCTTGAGTCTTCACCCAACACATGCAACAGAAATGACTCAACGCAGATACCAGAAATATGGAAGATATTGCTACCACCAGTCAGTCAAATCAGAGGAGGATAATAAATAATCTCAAAATTCCGTTTCAATTCAATTCAAATACATTATGACATTCTAACAAGTTACTTATTTTGTGTATAAGAACACTCGTCTTATTTTCCATCTGATTGTATTTGATCAATAACACCCATATTATTATTATTTCTGAATATACATTATCCTATATTGATTTTTATTCAAATGTCTAATCATCAATATCACTAATGTATTTAATGAAGGAAAAAGGTTTTGTGAGTGACTTAATGTGATTATGAGCAATTATAGTTTGTGCTTGAAACGTGGTCATCAGTTAATATTACTGTATAACACTGTATGACCTTATCAAAATGAAATCTTATATATAATGGAGTTATACACCACCAGAGTGCCCAAGTTTTACACTTATATCTTAATAATGTGCTCATTTGTTTTCTAGTTTATATTAGAAACGGTTGGTTAGATTTGTAACTCTGCTAGTTCAGTTTTTATATGTATCAGTTCATCCGCTTTACCAGCTACCTATCACCTAACAAAATGCAGAAACATACGTTAAAGAGACTAGTGAGTGATGGACAGGTGCCAGGATAGACACTCAAACGGAACAAGAATGGGGGTAACATAGAGGGTATTGTGTAACCTGCTGGAATCACATTCACAACAAGTAGCTGTCGTAGCCCACATGGTGTATTGGATAGCTCCGTGGTGTTTGAAACTGTAGGTTCGAGTCCCTTATACGGACACAATCACTCACTCACACATTTAAGAATTCCCGTGAATCCAGCTGACCAGTCCCAAGTGGGACGAAATGTGCATCCTGATGGCTTCCACTGTTAGTTATCATCCATCAAATTACCTCTTGCCAAAACTTCAGAAAATTAATTATACGCAAGCTAATAATTTGTAGATACTAGTTTGATCTGAACCAACGAATATGTAAATGTTGAGTAAGTAAGATTCAAATATAGCTATAATAAAAAGACGCTTGTAGCAAAGAAAATTTCTCTCTGTCGACGAAGTCATCAACTGGGCTGGACTAGAAAACAATTCCAGATCACCGACTATCAGCAAGCTTCCACTATACGAGAGAAACATTGATGATATTTTCATTATTTATGATGAGAATTTTGGATGTCGGAAACCTACTTGAAACCTTCAACAATGCCCATTAAAACATCAAATTCACTATAGAAGTTGAATATGACACAAGGTTCCATTTCCTCGATGTTATTTTGAGAAGAAATGCTGGAAACTCGCTGAAAAGATCCATATTCAAAAAAGCCCATATGCAATAGACAGTTTATCAGTTTTAAGAGTTGTATTCCTCAAAGCCAAAAGAGAAACCTCATATACTCAATCTCCTTGAAGATCCGGAAAATGTGTACGAAGGAATCTTTTGAAGAAGAACTGTAAAATCACCGAGGAACTTTGGTTAAAAATGGTTTCTCACCCAGATTCATACAATAGAATCCAAAACCAAAGAAAATTTCTCAGCAGGTCCAAGTCTCTCCCAAAAATATGCTAATGCCTAATCTCCTTAAACAGCCTTAGGAACCTGTAAGTAATACATACTTCTCTGCCAGCTGACGGGAGACATATTATCTCGAGAAACTACTCAAAAGCACATGCCAGTTAACTTGCTCGTGTGAAGCTGAGTACACTGGCCTTACCATGTATCCAATAACCAACTGCGCTCGGGAACACTATCCAGCCTGACTGGGTAGAAAAAGGAGGACGCCAGTATGGACATAGTTTGGGAACAGAACATCTGATGGACTCAGAACACCAAGCTCCATTAGAAATGTCCTTCAAAGTCATATACAAGATCTGATAAAACCTCTCTCTCTAAGGGGCAGTAATGAAGGCATCTGGCTGGGTATAGCTGAAACACTAGCGATCCAAAAGTTGAAGCCCACGCTATGTATGTTTTCAAAAGAAATACGTGCAACTGTCGTTTCTATTATGGTCGTTAAAATCAGTCACGTTTCCCAATGGTAACTATCTTATTACCTTCCTATTCTCTATCTGCACTACTGTGTTTTTTTATGCGAACTTCCTGTCCACTTTTAGCATGACTAAGTTTTTAATCCTTAGTTCCATAAAGATTCAATTTTTCGAATAATTACTATCCTGTTATCTTCTTATGCGTTCTTCCTGTTGATCATCACATTTTAGTTCCTATTAATAAATTTTATCAATTTAGCCCTCGAAAGAAAATAAGTCTACAAATTCCCCACCCATTTACTACAAATAAAAGAATGTACACCCCAGTTCATTACTTCATCGAGACGAAAATTTTCTTCGCTGCAACTGTCTTTTCAATGTTTTTTTTATTCCTTCACGTTCCAGTGGAACATAGGGTTTCAAGCTACAGTCTTGAAGTTTCTGTAGCAGTGTTTGGTTTTACAGGATGGAATTGCTAGCCTCATGCTCAACCTTTCCTCTTTACCAGTCCTACTACTGTTTTAGTGGAGTAAAGGAGTGCGCCGGCCGGGGATCAAACCCCGGACCATATGCTTGGTCGGCGAGCATCATAACCGCTATGCCACCGACGGATTGACGTGTCACGAAAAGGATTTCCAACAAGTTACAGACTTTCGTCAACAGCTGCCTCATTCTCTGGCTCCATACCGAAGATTAAATGGCTAGCTGGTGAGAAATAATTAGCAACAAGAAACACTAACTGATAACAAACCAACAGGTGACAGCCGATTGCTCAACAGCTATGTAGGAGAAAATGGAGATGGACTGATCGGGTATACGTTGAGGAGGCCGTCTAATGACATTGCGGGTATTGCAGGCCATTGCTCGAGTCAAATGCGAATGGGTACCGACAAATAGGTTGTCGGTGCGAGGGTAACATGGGGATATAATGTGAGGAGGAGGGGGGAGGTGAGAGATTATGGTCAATCGTGGACCCAGATGAAGAGGAAATCAGAAAACAGAAAAAAGTGGAGATGTGTTGTTGAAGTTCTGTGTTCCACTGGCAACCCAAGGGAGTAACAATTATAATAATTGATTTGAAGAATGACTATAATGATTGTTGATGAATACTCACCAAATAACACCGTTTGATTTAAATTTACAATTTAAAAATAAAGTTGAAATAATTGATTTCACTCCTGTGAGTTTCTTTTAAAAATGAATAAGTGACTGTTGTCATTAGCAATGTGCATATATGTATAGGCAATACACTAACAGAAGGACGCCAAACAGAAACAGTACACTTTTACGGTGTTAAATTTGTCATAAAATAAAAGTCATTGAAGCGAAATAAATAATAGTAACAAAATAATACAGCAAAAGTTACGCAAACATAAAAACCAGAAAAACAAATGCACAACGAAAACGGAATGATAAGGGAAAAACTGCTTAGTTAGGTTTTCATTGATTAGATAAAAGCAGGAATGATAGTAGTGCAAATGTTTGTTTCTACAGTAGATCACTTTAAAATGCTTTGTCACTTGACTTTTGTTGCGTCACAAGTTTGAATTCAACTCCTATGACTTCTAGCCTAGGTGACTGATTAATACCCTCAGTCTTCACATCCTCATTTCAATGATATTCAGGGAAACCTATACATTAATGATATACCGATTGATATCCGGCCTGGAAATAAACCAATCGTAATTGGCCTACGTAATTAATCGATGTCCAGTCTGGAAACTAACCAATCAGAATTGACCTACAGATAAGTGATCGATGTCCAGTCTGGAAATAGCCCAATCAGAATTACTCTGCGTAAAATAACGCCCACTATTTTATGGATTAGGATTGTAGACTAATTGACATATATCCTTAGTGATTTTTTTGAGTGATACGTTAATGTGTAAATAAACTGCTACCTTCCGTCTCGCCTTTTGGGTGCTCTTGCATATATTGCTGGTTGGGAGATCGGTTAGTAGTTGTTGTAGTATATGTTGTAGGCGTAGACAAACGATACTCATGTCTACCGAGTC